GCCTACTTGAGGAGGCCGGTCAGCAGCAATGGCCAGGCGGCCTGTCTGGCCCTGACCTGCATGCAGAACCTGTGGAGAAGTTAGCATGTGCTGTTTGAGGCTACACCATGCTGAAGTTGTTGTCTGTCAGCAATTGACTTTCAGTAGAGCTCAGCTAGACAGATGGAATGTAAACACTGAATGCACAGGTTGAAATACACTGTCCATTTTGGATTGAGAAATCTCTAAGGCTCCCAGCCCATGGGGACAGGGGTCGCATATCCTGCATATCGGATATTTACATTACGATTCATAACAGCAGTAAAATCACAGCTATGAAGTAGCAATGAAATAATTTTATGGTTGGGGGTTCATCACAACATGAGGAATCATATTAAATGGGTCCACAACATTAGGAAGGTTGAGAACCACTGGTCTAAGGCGTGAGATGAGAGAACGAAGAAAGAGAAACACAAGCAAATTCTAACCAAAGTAAGTAAATAAAGTAACGACTGGCAATAAAGTGGGAACGAACAGACGTGTTAGAAGAAACAGGCATGTCCCCAGAGGCGCTGATTGGGCTCAGTAACTGACAGAACAAGGTGACAGGAAGCAGCCGCGCGCGCGGGAGCAGAAACATGTCTAAAATACAATCGACCAATCCGACCCTACTCACGGCACTCAGCTCTTGCGCACTTCGGTGGAGTTTGTCCTGAACGGGATATTTACATAGTTAACCGACGAAGCAATTCGGAAGAAAGGCCGCATAGGGAAGTCACACAGGCAATGGTCTCTGACCAAGCAACATGTAAGGTAAAGGAAGAGAAGCCCCATGCTAACGCGTTTTCAGGAGGAGAGCAGAGTCAGCCTGACACAGCCTCAGGTCACCAGAGAGAAGGACTTCTACTGAAGGACTGGCTAGGTCAGACCGGCTTGTGGGCGTGTCTGCGGGAGATTGTTTTGATTATTAATTGATGGGGAGGGGAGGGGACAGTACTATTATTCCCTGAGTCCTGATCTATATAAGAAAGCTGGCCAAGCCTGAGCTGGAAGGAGAAAGCAAGCAGTGTTCCTCCAAGGTTTCTGCTTCAAGTTCCCACTTGAGTTCCTGTGTCCTGACTTCCTCCAATGATGGACTATGGCCTGGAAGTGTAAGTAAAATAAACCCGAACGTGCTTTTGGTCAGAGTGTTTGATCACAGCAACAGGAAGGAATCTAGAGGACCCAGGGACCAAAAAAAACCACTGTAGTGAAAGTCAGGAATGGTTGAGTTGATAATACTCCAAACCACTGCATTAATTTTTTTTTCAGGTACAATTAAATTAGACAGGATTGCTGGTGAGCTAGTCAAGATGGGGTATGGGAATGGTAAGCTCAATAATCAATATTGGAGATAAAATGAAGGCCTTGCTTCATGCTGCAGAGTGACGAGGTGGCACAAGGCTAATTCGCACGTGCATCAGACAGTGCCTCACTCTCAGGAGAATAAGGGACAACTCTGGCGAGATGAATGCAGGATAAACTCAGACACGCTCCTAACTAAAGCCAAAAGCCAGCTCTCGGCAAAAGACCTATACATAGAAACGGCCCCATGTGCTAATGTCGAGTTGTGAAAAACCCACAGCCATTACGGCATGGGAAAGTTGTCAGAGTAAAAAATGGAGTTATTAGCCGGGCAGGGGTGGCGCACGCCTTTAAATCCCAGCACTCGGGAAGCAGAGGCAGGCAGATCTCTGTGAGTTTGAGGCCAGCCTGGTCTACAGAGCGAGATCCAGGACAGGCTCCAAAGCTACACAGAGAAACCCTGTCTTGAAAAACAAAAACAAAACAAACAAACAAACAAACAAAAAGGTATTTATGTCAAACTACAATAAGGAAAGAGATAGCACTCAAGCTGGGATGCTGTGAAGGAGGGGGTTCTCACACAGTACCATCTCAGGACCATCTGCTGGGACCACAGGCTGGCAGAGGGCTCTGAGACCTTTCTCAGAAAATGTTCCATGTACCTAGCCTCTCCACTAACCGACCCCGCCCATTACTGGTCCCGGCATCACTTCTCATTTCCCCTTTGGAACTCTTTGTCTCCATGACCTTTCTGGTGCCAGTTGGTCTGCAATGCTCCTTCCAGGCAGGTCCACTGTCTCTGCATAGTCATGCTTGTCACTCAGGTTGGCACGTGGGGGTGTGTGTGCCCACTCTTACGGTGCTGAAGTAATGCACAAAGGCATGGGAGCATCAAGAAAGGAGGGCAAGCTGCAGGTGACACGGTAGTTAGAGATCCACAGGTATTTAGAAAGTACCAGAACTAGGAAGTGGGCTCACCAGCACTCGGGGACAATGTGCCATACACAACCACCTGCGCTTTCTGTGTTAAAGCCACAAACAACTAGAAAATGAAATTCCAAGTATCATTCTTTAAAGTATCAAAGTTTATTTATTAAATATATTTGGAAAAGTATCAACATACATCAAATACTTAAGAACAAATTTAATGAAAAATGCCTATGCACTAAATACTGTATATATAAAGCAACCAAATACCTAAGTAATGTTGATCTACTGCTCGACATAGAATGGAAGTCTCCATTGTGGGGGGCAGTTCTTCCTAAAGGGAACTATGGATTTGATACAATCTCAGTAAAAATCTCCAAGATCTTTTTGAAGTTGACAAGCTGATCTTGAACTTTACATGAAAATTCAAAACTCATTGAAGAAAGAAGAAACAAAGGCAGGAAACTTGTATGGCTACATTTCAAGATCTGTTTTTAAAATACAGTAAATAAAATAAATAAATAGCTGGGTCGTGGTGGCGCACACCTTTAATCCCAGCACTCGGGAGGCAGAAGCAGGCAGATCTCTGTGAGTTCGAGGCCAGCCTGGTCTACAGAGCGAGATCCAGGATAGGCACCAAAACTACACACAGAAACCCTGTCTCAAAAAACCAAAATAAATAAACAGAAACAAATAGAAACAAACAAATACAGTAACTATGTTACTAAAAATGTAGTAACTAAGGCAATGTGGAATTGGCATAAAATTGCTAAAGAGACTGAGGAGCAGAAGAGTTAAAATTCAGGACTCATTCAAGAGTTTTGTTTCTGTTTCTCTTTGGAGACAAGGTTACTATGTATTCCAGGCTGGCTTCAAACTCTCAGCAATCATACTGCCTCAGCCTCCCTAGTGCTGGGATTACAGGTGTACTCTATCATGCCC